GAAAATCTAAATATTAAGACAGAAACACTGACTATACTAGAAGACAAGGTAGACAGAAATCTTGAAGACATATGGGTGGGCAAAGAAAGAGTTCATGAACAAGATGCAAACTGCACAGAAAATACTTCAAAGAATCAACGCTGGAATCTCATTAAAAAGTTTTTGCACATCAAAGGAAATTAACAAAGCAAGAAAACCCACAGAGTGGAAAAAAATTTTCACCAGCTGTCCCTCTAACAAAGGACTTACATCTAAAACATACAAAGAACTGAAAAAGAATCAAGCTTCCCAAATTCAAAGACCTTATCCAAAAATGGACATCTGAGATGACTACACACTTATCAGATGAAGAAATACAAATGCAAATAATTCTGTGGAAATGTGTTCAACATCACTAGTTACTAGAGAAATGCAAATACTGAGATATCATCTCACTCAAGAAAGAATGATTATCATCAATAAATCAACCAAAAATAAATGTTGTGTGGTTATGGAGAAAAAGGAACCCTTCTCCACTATTGCTGGAAGTGAAGTCTGGTACAACCACTGGGGAAATCAGTGCTGAGATTCTTTAAGAAACTATAATTGGAGGTCTCATTCAATCTACCTATTCTACTTCTGGATATTTTCCCAACAGAATTGAAAGTATTATGCCACAGCAATGTATGTGCACCCATGTTAATAGCAGCACCATTTGTAATGGATAAATCTTGGAAACAACCCAAATACCCTTCCACTGTAGAATGGGTAAAAAAGAGGTGGTGTTTTTATACAGTGGAGTATTACTCAGCTATAAAAAGGATGAATTTGAGGCTTTTATTGGTAGTTGTGTGCAACTAGAGACCATACTTACAAATGAAATAAATCAGACTCACATGTGTAAATACTGTATTGTCTCCCTAGTGTAAAAAACTGAAAGAATAAATAAGATCCAAAATGTACAATGCATATTATGAAAGGGAAAGGGAAAGAAACTGCTCAAAAAAAAGAACAATTGGGAAGGAGAAAGGAGAAAAGAAAGAAGGGAAAAATTATATATATACACACACACACATATATGCACACACACATACATAAGATAGATAACTATACTATTACTCTATGTTAGGTCATCAAAAAGAACAGTCTGTGCTTTCATTGTTTGATTGTTTGATCATTATTTTCATGCCTATATCTTGCAATCTGAACAACTACTTTTGTTTTTAAATGCAGATAATCACTTTTATTTTTTCATTTTAAAATTTAAAAAAATTTAAAAACGCCCAAAATAGTTTTTTTTTAAATTTTATTTAAGAGGAAAAAGAGAAAAACACAAAACAAAACAAAGCGGTGTAAGGGTACACGTAATACAGAACTACAAAAAAAAAATAACAGTAAGAAATCACCTGTTAATAGATTATATATTATCATCTTGGAAATAGTTGCTCAAATCACAGTATCAAAGAATACAAAGTGGACATTCAAACAGAGAGACTGCAAACAGCTGTGTTCAATGATCCAAAAACATTAATATAGTCAGCTATTTAACACCCCTAAACACACTTGCTGTTATATCCGTTAGAGCTCTTTTTTTTTTCCCTCTCTTTTTTACAACAAAATTTACACCTTTTGGATTTTATTACTCCTTAGTTCTTACTACTTCTTTTGGGGGGAGAGAATAAAGTCAAATATGGCTAAACAAAGCTGTCAGTCAAAACCAAGGATAGACATAGCACATGATATAGAACAGAGTACAAGGTTATCAACATTGTCTCTTGTTTCCTTAAAAAGAATTGTCTGTCTCATTAGATATTATAAAGTTGGACAAAACAGTAGAGAACAAGACCAATAAAACTTAGACATTGTAAACATTACAGGACTTCCAAAGGAGACAATAGTCAAACCAGAATGGACACCTTAGTGAATCTTATTGCCTTCAAAGTAGTTGCCTATACCCTCAAACTTGATACTATCATACAGAATGGAACAGAGTCTAATCAGTCAAAACAAGATCGTGGGAGTATTACAGGACTTCAAAACAAATTAATAGGAAATCAAAAAGAGTTACTATTATATATCCTAATTTTTTTTAATTTTTCCCCTTAATTAAAACAAACATAAGAAATAACTAAATAATTTTTTTAAAGAGTAAGGGAGAGATTGAGATAAAACAGGACATAACAATATAACAATAGAGGTCAAAGCATGACTGTTTCAGCAACCTAGTGCTTCACCACCAAATAACCCGACTTAATAGTAGTTACCATAGTGTCTGTCTTTTTTCTTGAAATATTTGGATAAAACTTCATATACTATAGCTTCAAATATTTCCATATCAAGAAGCCCAGAATAAAGCCTTTCTAATTAATAAGTGAAAACTTTATAAGGCTTCAAGGCCACATAATGGGGAATCATGATTACCACATATTTTTGTATATTTGAATCATTACTTACATTAGGGAAACTATTCGGTATTCACACATGCGAGATTGATTTATTTCACTTATGAGTATGGTCTCAAGCTGCGCCCATTTATTGATAAATATCTCAATGTGATCCTTCTTTATAGCTGAATAATACTCCATTGTATAGAAATACCACAACTTTTTTATCCATTCCTCAGTTGATGGACACTTGGGTTGTTTCCAAGATCTGGCGATTACAAATTGTGCTGCTATAAACATAGGTGCACATATATCACTGTGGTATGATGCTTTCAGTTCTTCTGGGAATATGCCTTTTAAATAAATACACAAATGCACACAACATAGTTCTGATATGTAGTTAGCATTTAATATTCTCCTACAATTTTTTTTGATTAGCATCCCTGGATCTAGTGGTCGTATATTTAAGGTCTCATTAAACTTTTATTGAATAGCTCATTAGATGAATATATATTCTTACCAAGTGCAGTAAATCAGATTTAAAGAATAAATATTATAAAACTGATTTGCTGTTAATTTGACTTTTTTTAAATTTAGTTGAAACTTATAAATTCATTCTGCCTATATTTCAAAATTATTGGTGCTAATTTGTAATAGCTAACTCTTGGAAACAACTCAAATGCCCATCAACTGAGGAATGGATAAAAAAGATTTTTTTTATGCAATGGAATTTTTATGCAATGAAATTCTACTGAGCTATAAAGAAAGACCACATTGAGACTTTTATAAGTAAATGGATGCAACTTAAAACCATACTGATAAGTGAAATAAATCTAACTCACATGTGTAAATACCATATTGCCTCCCTAGTGTAAGAAACTGAAAAACAAAATATACAAAATCTTCAATAAATACTGTGAAAGGGTAAGAAACTGCCCAAAGAGGAAAAAATAACTCATATATATATATATACAGTTTAGATTACTAAGAAGATTTATACTACTAATTCTATTAGTTATTGGAACAAAACATAATATCTATAGGATTAGATCAACTTTACATGACTATATCTGGTAATTCAAGGTAATTTTGAAGATAACTATGCAAAACAACAAAAATTGTTATGTTCCTACCACCTTGTTTTGAAAGTCTATATTGCTATTATTTTGGGCTCTTAGTTATAGTTATTTATCTGTTGTTTTGTTTTCCCTCTAATATAGAAAGGATAGATGAATATATATAGGCTTGTATGTGCCAAGAACTTCACCTTTACAACAGTTGATTTTTATTATGTGTGATCATATGAACAAATACACTGAAGAAAATGAGACACCATGGTAGCCATTGATGAATTCCTACCATTTTGATTTAAAAGCCAATAATGCTTTTATTCTTGGTTTTGATTGGTTTTAGCCTGTTTTCAATTATTTGATTTCAATAGGTATGAAGATATGGATAGCTATTTTAAAGAAAACAAGAAACATTATGGTAGCCATTGTAGACTTTCTAGTGTCTGGTCTTGAAAGCCTTTAAGGCTCTCATTCTTGTGTTTTGATTGTTTTTATACTATTTTGATGTGTATTAACATTGTGTGTGAAGGCATGGACAACTATTTCAAAGAAAATGAGATGCTATGGTAGACACTTGATTTCCTGCTGTCTCTTTCTGAAATCCTGTGTTATTTGCATTGTTTTACTCTGCTTTACTTTGTTCTGTGTTGTTTTGCTTTGTTTTATTCTCTTTAAATAAAAATTAATAAAAGCAATTATTGGTGCTGTGTATATCGTAAGTAGATATATAACTACATAAGCCAAACTCTACTTTCCATATGTTACAAAGTTTCTTGCCTTTGAAGTATTCAATATGGTCACCACTTTGGAATTGTATGTTTTTGGGGAAGGAGTTTGATTTGTTTTTGTTTTGTTTTATTGTATCTGGAATCAAACTTATGACCTTGCATTTCTCAGACAGGTACTGTGCCACTGAACTATATCCCCGGCCCTGTTGTTGTTGTTGTTGCTGCTGCTGCTGATGATGATTTTGATTTTTTGAAGACAGGGTTTCACTGTCTAGCCCAGACTCTCCTCAGACTCACAAGGATCCTCCTGCTTCAACCTAGGATTACCAGCATGTGCCACCATGCCCAGTTGGAATTCTATGTTTTAAGAAAGAAATGTTGGCATTAATCTTGCTTCTGTCCTTTTTCATGGCATTCTTTTGGTTTCTCTTTCATGTATAATATCACCTTACTCTATATTATACTGATGTTATTTATGGGCTTATCTTTTGTTGCCTTCTACACTCATCTCAAAATTTACAGTAGGAGTTCTTACTATTTGGAATTTCCTTACTTGCCATTTTGAGACTATGATGAATTATTTCACCCAGAAAAATGCACATGTATACAAGCAAAAGTTTTCACGTTAATTCAGGAGAGTCATGGACTCCAAGATAAATACTTTTTCATTCAACACAGTGCTAGAATTTCACTGGCTTTTGTGTCTATAATAGCAGAATCTACTACTTACATAAGAGATACTCAGCAAATTGTTTGTGAATTGATTAATATGCAAATTGAACCTTCTAAAGTTTCTTACTACAGAATCTCTAATCAGGGTTTCTTCTTTATTTCTTTAGGTTTTCATCTGAGTGGTACAGTGACCGAGCCAGCCACTGCTTCTGAACCAGCAATGACGTACAAAGTTGCAATCAGTTTTGATCGATGCAAAATAACTTCAGTGACATGTGGCTGTGGAAACAAGGACATATTCTACTGTGCACATGTGGTAGCCCTCTCACTATATAGAATCCGTAAACCAGACCAAGTCAAATTACGTCTTCCTATCTCGGAAACCCTTTTCCAGATGAATAGGGACCAGCTACAGAAGTTTATTCAGTATTTAATTACAGCACACCACACTGAAGTCCTTCCAACTGCACAGAAACTGGCTGATGAAATTCTTTCCTCCAACTCAGAAATCAATCAAGTGAATGGTAATTGTACATTATTCTTGCTAAAAAAATGGTCTTTTTCACCACCATTTCAACCAAAGCAACCCTCTTCCCTCTACTGTGTTATATTATTGCATTTGGGGGGGTGGGTAAACCGGGGATCGAATTCATGACCTCGCACTTGCCAGGCAGGCACTTACACTGCTGAGCTAAATCCCTGGCAAATTATTGCATTTTAAGAGATCAACATATTCCTACAGTTATAATCATTCAACCTGTATTCATTCATGCATTCATTCGTTCATTCTGTCCAAAAAGCTATGTATTTAACTTAGTTTCTCAAAGCAGTCAAATTGTCTACCTCAAAAAGGTTGTGAAAGGCTGGGGATTTAGCTCAGTGGCATAAGCACCTGCCTTGCAAACGTGCAGTCATGAGTTTGATCCCCAGTACCGATTAAAAAAAAAAAGATTGTGGCCTGGGGTATTGTTAATACTCTGTTTCTCTTTTTACTCACAACCTCACGCTTGCCAGTTAAGCACTTACACTGCTGAGCTAAATCCCCAGCCCAGTATTCTGTTTCTTGACTTCATTAATAGTTGCACCATTATAATCACTACGTGATAATCCATTCATCTATGCACTTAAGATTGTGAAATTTCAGCCAGGTGTAGTAGTAAATGCCTGTAATTCTAGCACTCTGAAAGGCTAAGGCAGGAGGATCACAAGTTTGAGCCCAGCCTGGATAATTTAACAACTGAATCATACCCTGTCTCAAAAGTGAAAACAAAGGAGGGGCAGGGTTCAGTTCTCCAGTACCACAAAACAGTGAATTTTCATAATTTACATTATCTTTAGAAAAAAAAAACTTGGTTAATTTTTAAAAGCTGTGCATGTACTTGTATGCTGATCTGTATGTACAGGACAAAAGACTAGAATAAAATTCACTGTAGCATTAACAACCTATGATTGGTAGAATACAGGTGGATTTTCTTGTGCCTTTATTCAATCTCTACAATAAGTATGTATTTTTGTTTGTTTTTATACTTTTTTAAAAAAAGTATGTTTATAAATGAAAGAAAAGCTGTTTCCTCATATGTAATAGGTCCAAGACAGATCTCAGTATTATAATCTCACACTTAGTACCTCAACTCACACGATGCTTTGCTTCATAATTATTTATAAAAGACATCCTGTATTATTTTCACGTATCACTACTTCTCCTATGCTTTTGAGGCAAAATGTAGACACTAATGATAAAGTGTCATTTACATTTACTTCACTACTAGAAGATAAGTAGTTTCATTTTTCTTCATATTAAAAGACTAACAAATTCTAACCAATGAACTTGTATATGGACATTTTGTTATCTATTTTTCAAGACAGGGTCTCACTTTGTAGTTCAGGCTGGCAATCCACCTGTGTCAGCCTCTTAAGTGCTGGGAATACAGGTGTGTGCCACCACTGCCAGCAGTTTAATTTAATGTTTGATTTGGCACCAATAATCAAGCTCAGAACCTCACACATGCAAGACAGGTGCTGTGTCACTGAGCTATAAATCCTGCCCTAAATTTAATTTTAAATCAAATCATTTTTTAAAATGATTTGGCTGAAGAGGGACAGCTATAGAAACCTGTTTATAAACTCCAGGTGTAGTTTATCTAGTTAAAGGGATCTATGTTCTTGTTCATTGATTCCTAAATACTCTCTCCTTTTGTACTATCTGACCATTGAATGTTGACAATTCTTAATCTAATCTTTTTCTCCTCTCCTTACTTTATATGATCTCTGTAGGCAATATCAGCTATATCCCTGACTTCAAATATCATCTATACACCATGGCTTAGAGATTTATTTCTATAGTTCAGAACCTCTGAGCTTTAAACTCTTTCACACCACAGAGATATTGCAATACCAACATATCCTAATGTAAATTTACGTTCTTCTTTCCCAAACTTGCTTACCCTGCTGTATCCACTATCTCAACAACTAACGCTACCATCTAGTCACTGGATCATGATGGGAACCTTATAGCAACTCGACTCCTTTTCCTTTCTATGGTGCACATGCATTCCATTGCTAGGTCTCTTAACTTGTTTCATAATTTTCTATTTCTGTAGATTAATACTGCTGTACCCTGAATCAAAGCACTATAATCTCTCACCTAGATTGCTGCATAGCCTCCCAACTGATCCTTTCACATCTGCTATTGCTCTGCTCTATTCGGTTCCCCTTATAAGCATCCAAAGTGATTTTTCTGTAACTGCAGAAGTGTCATCACTTCTTGTTTAAAATCCTTCAGTGGGCTCTTATTACCATTAGAATAAAGTCCAAATTTCTATGGTCTGCAAAACCTTCCTTCTTCTGGCTTTTTGCCTACATTTCCCTCCTTAGGCAATATCTTCTCTCCTTTCCTTTCTCCCTCAAAACAGTTGTATTTAACTAACAAAATAATTTATGATTTCATGTTTGTTTTTTTGTTTGAGGTACTGGGAACTGAACCCAGGGCCTTTGCACTGAGCTGCATCCCAGCCCCCCCCCCCTTTTTTTTAATTGTGAGTCACAGTCTTGCTAAATTGCCCAGAGTGAACTAGAAATTGTGATCCCCCTGCCTCAGCTTCAGTGCTGGGATTACAGGTGTATAACATTATGCCCAGCTCTTTATGCTTTTTATTCTGAACAGAAAATACATTTTCCCTGCTCTATGCTAGACTCTTACTTATTCCTCAAGTTTCAACTTAAATGTCACTTTTTTTCAGCCTTGATCCCTCTTCCTTTCCACAGGAGAAAAAAATGGTATAGATGGGGAGGATGGAGAAGTAGCTCAGTGGTAAAGTACTTGGTGCAAGGCCCTAGGCTCAACACCCAGCAACTCCCCCACCGCATATTTTCTTAATATCTACCCAAATAGTCTATTAGCTCCATGAGGACAGAGATCATATCAGCTTTATTCACCACTGTATTTCTACTATTTGGCACAGGTTCTGTTACATATCAGGTTCTCTGTAAATGTTGGTTAAATAAATAGCAATGTCTTAGATAATCCTCTGTGCAGCCTCTTGCCAGTTCTTGTTCTTCCCAGACAACTCTGATTGCCTCAGCAGTCACACCAGCGCCTTCCAGTTTGATATCAGGACTCCCAAATATTGTCTTACTCTCTTTTTTGCAGCAACCACCCATTTTGGCAGCTCAGTTTCTAATCTCCTAGACATTTCCAACATTTAACTTCCTTTCTGTCCTATGAAGTAAACAAGTCCTTCTGAAGTTTTAGGTGAATTTTTATTCTTAGTAACCCTCAAGGCTTTGTCTTATCCTGGCAAGGTTCTACAGCTGGCACACTAGATACTTATAAATTGCTGCTGTGACTACCACCACATGGGCCTCATATCCTTTCAAAGGCGTAAAAGTAAGAGGAGATGTCACGCCACACTTCTAAGCCAGTTGATTAAGGCCAGCTCTCCCAGATTCTGGGTCCCATTCCTGCTTTTTCATATCCTAATTGAATCACCCAAGGGTGAAAACTAGTATTCAAACCACCTTGTCTTCTGCTTCTGGAACACCATTACTGTTCTTTTCTAAAACCCATCCTTAGCTCCAAGGTACTCAAAAACCCAGTTCTTTGTTTGACTTAGTTCATCTCAATTCTGTCTCTATTGAGCTACTGAAAACCAGGATTGTTTAGAGGTAAGGCTTTATGACCTGTATTTTAAACACAAATCTCAAATGATTATTCTATATGTTAACATTTGAGAATCACTATACTAGTAAAAACTCTGTTTATCTTTATATGGGAAAATGTATCATTCTGGCTAACAACATAGTTTATGTAACAGAGTAGTGCAAGAAAGTATGGGATTTGGCTGTTTTCACATACACCATCAACTTACATTCAGAGGCCTGAAACTGGGTGGTAGATCACAGCAGCATGGGGCTGAAAGTGAAAGCATATGTAGGCTTGTATTGAAGAGCAAAGGCTTTAGAGAGACCAACACACAGATTCTGGCTGTATTATATTTTCTGTGTTATATAATTTCTAACTATAAGTTACTTAACCCTTTCTAAACTTCAGATTCTTCATTTAAAAACTAAGATAATAATACTACCCCATAGAGTTTTTAAGAAATGTTCCTTAAGTCAGGCATGGTGGCACATGCCTGAAATCCTAGCACTTGGGAGGTTTATGCAGTAGGATGGTTGTAAGTTCCAGACCAGCCTGGGGTACAAAGTGAGTTCAAGAGCAGCCTGAACTACATAGCAAGGCTCTATCTCAAAAGAAAAAAAAAAGTTCCTTGAAATTTATTTAACTAATATGTGTTAACTAACACTATGTGCCAGACACTTTTCTCCATATTATAAATATGCCTGCAAACAAAATTTACTGTCCTCAGTAAGCATAGAATCTAGGGAGCATAAGTGTATAAAGTACTTAACCTCTCAAATATAAGAAGGACTTAGAGACTGGTTGTTATTAACAAATATTTAAGGATAAAGAGTTTTGCATTGCCACTTTCAGTATGCAAAAGAAGTATAGGTTATAGTATCTGCCTACATGGAGCTTATATCCAGATGGTCAATAAAACATATTAATTCATTCTGTAAATGAACTCAGAACTATAATCTATAAATGTTGGCACAATGAGCCAGGCACTATGAGATACAAAAACGAATCTCTGTTCTAAATTTTTCAATTTAGTTGGAAATATACAAGAAATGCACAATTCTAAAGTAAAATAAAAGGTGATAATAATAAAGTACACTATACAGTGTATTGTCTTTATAAGTTAAACAAATGAACATAAAATGGGCATATTTCAGAAAGGTGTACCATAATGGGGTATATACTAATTTGGTGACAGAATAAAAAAGATCCTATTCAACTGAGCTAAGCAATACATGGCCTTTAGCAGTAGTAGCCTCACTGAATACTTAGTTTGTCTTAGTTACTTTTTACTTATCACTGAGACAAAATACCTGATTCCCAAAGTTGGGAAAGGAAATGTTTATTTCTTACAGTTTTTGGAGGTTTTAGTCTATTTAGTTGGCTCTAAGGCAGGGTGGCATGGCAGAGCAGCAGTTTATGGCAGCTGCAAACAGCAAGGCAGAAACTGGCAAAAGAACAAGGCACACTTCCTTTTTGCCATTATGTTACATCCTGGCTCCACCCCTATGTGGGTGTAGCACTGACACCATCAATCCAAGCACTAGACAATGAACTATCACAAATGCACAATGCAAACTCAAGAGGCCTGGGGGCCACAGACATAAACCATGACATTCCACCCCTGGCCCCTAGGACTCACATGCATCCTTTATACAAAAGACATTTAGTCCACCTCCAAGAGTTGCCAAAGTCCTAACAGTTTCAGCATTGCTGAAAAGTCTTAAGTCCCAAGTCTCCTCCAAGATCTATGGTAAACTCTTAACTGTAACCCCATGTATAAATCAAACAAGGTTAAACATTTTCGAAATGCAAAGGCACAAGATAAACACCATCATTTTAAAAGTTACAAATGGGGGAATATAAAACATTGGAAACAAAGCAAGTCCAACATCCAGCAGGACAAACATTAAGTCCTAGAGTTTTATGCTCAGCATCTGAAGCAATCTGGTTACAAGTTCTAAAAGGCTTAGGTGATTTCACCCCCCTGGCACTTTCAGGGATTTTAGCTCCCACAGCTTTTCTCTTAAATCCTCTCTGCTCACTTTTTATAGCTTTTCTTGGATCATCCACGTTTTTGGCTTTTTTAAACTTTTGGGGTCTCTACTGCATCTTTGATTTTACCCTTATATCTTTACAAATTGTCCTCTCAGGGGCACACTGCTTGGCCTCCCAACCCCTTTGCAATCAAGGTGGAAGACGTCGTACCCTCAGAGTTTGTGCATTTTCCTTGTACCTAAAATCAGCACCTTGTGGGTATCACCAAGGTTAGCTGCCAGCTGAAACAATGGCCAGGCTTTTTTCACTCTTGGCTGTAGAGGTCGGTTGCCTGGATCGTTGGGCTCTCTGAACCTGATTGTGAAGAAAAGCTTTTCTATGTTGCCGCCATTTTGGAACCTCATGTGGCCTCAGTCACCATTTTGGAGCATGGTGCTCTGCAGCTTTCTCCTCTGAGCAAATTCTTTCACCTTTGCAGTGAGGCTGCAAAGTGTGGGGCCCACTTTCTGGAATGTCCCAGGGCCATCTTTTTTATCTCTCTGTTTCTCTTCAGCAATCAAAGTCTCAACTCTGTCTTTATAATCCACAGCTTTCCTGGAACTTTTCTTTTGGCCAAACTCACAGTATTGCAAAGTATCCTGCTGGGCTCTTTGTTTTTGATTTGTAACATAAAGCTGGCTAAAAGCCCCCAACAATAGCCCTGCCACAGCCTCAATATTTAATTGCTTTGAAATTTTCTTTTTTATATTAATCAGTTTATTGCCCTTTGTTTTAGTCTCAGGCAAAGTCTCTGGGCATGAGCAAAATGAAGACAAACTTTCTGCCAAGCCATGACATACATCATGGGGAATCCAACAACCCCAGTGTAGTCCTTTTTCCTTGCAGAAACCTCCCAAGCCTGGTCTTTACCATGAGGCTTTCTATCAACATTCTGGTCTCTTGAGCTCTGACCAGAATCTCCACTACAGAACAGCCTAGGCTGCTCCAGCTTTATGCATCTAGGCAACATGTCCAAACCTTTTCAAACTCTGCCCACAAGCCATTTTTAAAGCCTCTCGAAAAACATGGCCAGGTATAGTCACAGAAAACAACTCCACTCACAGTACCAAATTCTGTCTTAGTTACTTTTTACTCATTGTTGAGACAAAATACCTGAAGCCCAAAATTGGGAAAGGAAAAGTTTATTTCTTACAGTTTTTGGAAGAATCCAAAACTGTACTTAGTTGGCTGTAAGGCTGGGTGGCATGGTAGAGCCGCAGTTTATGGCAGCTACAAACAGCAAGGCAGAAACTGGCAAAAGAGCAAGACACACCTTCTTCCTGCCATTACATTACATTCTGGCTCCACCCCTATGTGGGTGTAGCATTGACACCACCAATCCATGCACTAGACAATGAACCAATCACAAAGGCACAATGAAAACCCATGAGGCTTGGGGGCCATAGACATAAACCATGAGTTTCCATTTCTCATTGTGACCCTGACTCTAGAGTTATGATGCAAATGATTGATTTTTATATAAATAGTATTATTATTTTCATTATTTACTATTTATTATTACTTTCCCAAGTTAAAGGAAATAGGAGAGAAGTAAAAGGGAAAATATAAGAAACAGAAATGTGGTTGACTTCTAGGAACCTTGGTTCTGGTTGATCTTGGTTAGCATCAGTATAGGGAAAATAAGACTGAAAATGAAACATAGGACCAAAAGCTCGAGGGATTTTGAATGCCAAACCAAGGAATTAGGATTTCAGCAGAGCATGAGTAGGTCAGGGAAATGATATGATTAGAATTGTGTTTAGAATAAACAATTTAAAGGCCAAGTATGGTGGCATGCCTGTAATCCCAGCACTTGGAGGGCTGAGGCAGGAAGATCATTGCAAATTTGAGACCAACCTGAATTACCTAGAAGAGACCCTGTCTCAAAAAGATTTAAAAAAAAAAGAAGACAAGTAGCATATAGTAGTAACAAATTGACAGATCATATGTATTAGTATTTGTGAAATGGATAAATGTGTGAACCTTTCTCATCCCCTGGAGAGTAAAACACATTAAAAAGTTTAGCAGAGTTAGGCATGGTGGCACACGCCTGTAATCCCAGCACTCAGAAGTCTGCGGCAGGAGAATAGTTGCGAATTCCAGACCAGCCTGGCACAGACTGAGTTCAAGGTCAGCCTGAACTGCATAATGAGACTATGTCTCAAAAACACCCCCCCCCCAAAAAAAAAAAAAAAAGCTCAGTAAAAGAGTGGCTTTTTTTTTTTTAAGTCCCTAGATTTCATTTAAGCAGTGCTCTGACATGAGTAGACAAGGGAAAAGGTAGACTAACTGATTGAAATCGGATACAAATTTATAACTTATTGCATGACTACACCTAGAGAGTGTTGACTTAAGGTCTGTCTATTGTCTTTTGGATGCAAGTTTCTAAAAACTTGTGACCAGACTCTGTAAGACAGTGAAAAAAAAAAAAAAAAAAGATTCCATTTTCTTTTTTTTTGTCTTTTTCCTTTTTATTGGTACTGGGGATCGAACTCACGACTGCCTGCTTGTAAGGTAGGCGCTTATGCCGCTGAGCTAAATCCCCAACCCCAAGATTCCATGTTCATTCCAGAAAACATTTCTGAAGTACCTGTCACATTACCAGCACTATGCTATAAGTGGTACAGCTGTGGATTCAATTGTGAGCAGTGGGCTAGCGGATTACTACAAAAGAGGAATGTCTTAAGTAACACCTGTGTTTTAAGTGGTGTTGTCAAAGTGAACCCAGATACAGAAGAACTAGAGTACAAATTTATATAATTCCATACTCAACTCTGCCTGTAATTTAAGCAGCAGTTTCACAGTAAACTTTAATAATAGAAATTTTTATAAGAAAGTATTTTTAGCTTTAAAAATGCGTGTAAAAGTATTTGAACTGTATAGAAAAGCAGAAACAAGAAAAAATGTCCCTTCCCATGAAAACAATAGTGCATCACTATTTTCCTGTTGTGTTTTGAAGACACAGAGGAAAAATAAATTGTTTTTCCTAATATACTCTCAGATCACTTCTGTGACCAAATATGTGGAGATTTCTCCCCATACACTAAGGAAATAATCAATTCTGTAAAAGATAACAATTGCGTATCTTCTATTCCAACTCAGTTCTGACACTGGCTACCCAAGGATAGCATATGATCTGACAGGTTGAGGTCTCAGTTTCCAAGGCTGTCCATTCCCTACTTCCAGTTTCACTGTAAAGGAACCTCTCCATGTTCTGCCTTGGAGTCAATGTAAGTCTTGTTCTTGTGGGCTTTTACGGATGCTTCATTCCAAAGCTCTTATGATTAGTTTATTGGCCAATGATTATCAACTTAATCTTTAACCCCTCTACTTTCCTATGGGTATAGGACTGAAAGTTCCAATCCTTTCTATCTGCCTGTGTAAACAGCACCCATCCAGAAGCCATCTGGGGGCTACCAACTACTAGTCAACTCATTAACATATAAAAAGACAAGAATTTTTGTGAGTTATATGTCAGCAAACAAGACAGATCTAATACGTTTTTCATAATATCACGTGTGTTTCCTTCCATGCTCTTTTCCCCTGGATGATATAGGAGAGGATATAACTGTAACATACGTGAACATGAAACAAGCATCAGACTCATACATATTTAGGCTCTGAGTTCACAAAGCCCATATTAAAGCAGAATAATTTATGTGCATTTGAATATGCTCACAAAGTGCCCCTCCAGCTGAGCATGTAGTGTGTGATCTCCGGGGATTCATTTCACTGTTCCCATACCTCACAGGTGCCCCTGACCCAACAGCAGGGGCAAGCATTGATGATGAGAACTGTTGGCATTTGGATGAAGAACAGGTGAAAGAACAAGTGAAGCTCTTTCTCTCCCAGGGGGGTTACTATGGCTCTGGAAAGCAACTCAACTCAATGTTTGCCAAGGTAAGATATAAAAATGGTTGGTTGGTTAGTTTTAAGCTTTAATAAAACCAGATTCAGTAGACTTCTGGTGTCATATGTTGTGCATAACTCACTTGACCTAGCTGTACTGATGCCTGAAACCTAGTAGGAGGCACCAAGCAGGGCAGACCTGAGCAGCTGTGGCCATGGATCTCAGCTACTTCACCCTGGGGTCCTGTTCCTCCTGCTATATTCTCTGAATGAGCTAACATCCCTGGGAGAGTTTAGTACAGAAACTGTCTTCTCTTTGCTTTGAACCCAAGGCTGCCTGGTGAATGAAGCTTGGAGGACTCATTTCAACAACATCCTGGAAGAGTGTTTTGAAACTGGGGGCTGTCACAGCAGGCTTTTTCCTGGTTTAACACTTTGACAAAATGTAATTCAAATACCATACAATTCACCCATTAAAGTTTATACTTCAGTGCTTTTTGGTATATTCAGTTATATGCAGCCATTACCACAGTCAACATTTTTATCGACTCAAAAGAAAGCTAATACTCTCAGCTATCATACGGTCTCCTCCTCCCCTTCTGCCACCTCCATCTCCCTCCCCCTTCCTTCTTCTCCTCCCTCAACCTTTGGCAACCTGTTGGTTTCTGTTGGTTTTGTTCTCTCCCTTCAAAAAACCTCCTCACCATAGTATTAGGGATTAAACCCATGGTCTTCACACTAAGCTATACCCCAGCACTTTTTATTTTTTATCTTGAGACAGGGTCTAGCTAAATCACTAAATTGCCCAGGCTGGGCCCAAATTTACAATCCTCCTGCCTCAGCCTCCTAGAGTGCTGGAATTACAGGCATGTGCCACCACACCTGACTTAGTTTCTCTATTCTGGATTTTCGTTTGAATAGAATGATATAGTATGTAGTCTTTTGTGATAAGCTTCTTACACTTAGTCTCATGGTTTTTAGGTTCATCTTTGTTATCACATGAATCAATATTTCATTCATTTTCTATGGTTGAATATCCATTGTATGAATACTACACATTTTACTCATACTTTTGTCTTTTGTTGGCATTTGGACTATTTGTATCTTTTGGGTATTATAACTACTCCTATTGTAAACATCTTTACAAGTTCTGTGCAGATTATTTTCCAAGTAGCTATATCATTTTATAGTCCTACCAACAGTGAATGGGCTTCTGATTTCTCTACATCCTGACTGACACTTGTTCTCTGACTTTTTTATTCTACCATCCTAGTGGGTATGAAGTGGCATCTCATTATGCAAACAAACTTTCTTATTATATGTGGAGCCCTTGCCTACAGAGAGAGGTCTTCTTTCTGTCTCTTTAGACTTGGTGTATTCAAATATTTTATCTTCTCCTTACCCTGTTTCCCTTCCTTCTGCTTTTTTTTATGCTATGCAGTCACCATCTCTTGCCCCTCCTTACATGTTAGGTTCGAGAGATGCTGCGGATGAGAGATTCCAATGGAGCCAGGATGCTGACGCTTATAACTGAGCAGTTTATGGCTGACCCACGGCTCACACTCTGGAGGCAGCAAGGAACAAGCATGACAGACAAGTGCAGGCAGCTCTGGGATGAGCTAGGTAAGTCCCCATCTCTCAGAGAAATGTTATATCCTGCCAGTTTGCCCTCTAGCAACAGTGGCAGTGAACATTGCTATCAATCATTGCATGAGTCTTGCTAAGTATAACTATAGCTCTATAGAGGTCACCTAGAATAACTTGGAACTCACTTTTCTTGCTTCTCCAGCATTGTACTTTGCTTTTGACATTAGCACTCTTCCAGATATTACCCACATAGAAACTTTTGCTGAAAGAAAACCTCTTCACTTTGCTCCTGTTGCATAGCAGTATCCTTGCTCTGCAAATATTTATCAGCCTTATTCTTGTTACTTTCCCTGAGTCTGCTTTTCTTTATTACTGCTAGCCAGATGTCTTTGACTAAGGCAGTCTTGTTTCATTCCTCTCAGTCCTAGTCCATGTTGTTACCGTTGACCATTTCCACTGACAAATCCAAAATTAATTCAAGCCTTCTGACAAAAAAAAATCTATATTTCCATAACTCTAGAATTGGCACCTCCATCCTTACTCTAGCAAATTTGTTATAGAGCACTTGTTTTTCATTGATTTCCGATACCCAACCATGGCTTTGATTCCTTGATTTTTATAATGCAGTGTCTCTTCTCATTTTTGGTTTTCCATAATCACTAGTCTGGTTAAAACTTACAATGGCCTTATAGTGTTTAGCTAAAATTAGAACAATGAACTCCTGAATAGCCTTTCAGCTCTAGGTTCTCCCCCATTGAGGCAGTTCTCTTTAGGGTCATCATTTCTCTTTTTTAGTCTGCTGCTCCAAGGCTAAATTTGTATATTGGCTCCAAGGCTAATACTCAACTCCTCTCCTTATTTCCAGAATCTTCTACACTCTTAACTTACCATCTAAGCATGGCCCAACTTGAGAGTTACAGTGTAAAAGTTATACATTGGTATATTCAGAAAGTTCAATAGAACACCTTCATACTTCCCCTCCCCAGAAAACAAACTTCTCTCAGAAAATACTGCAGCTTAATTTTAAAGAGTTCTCCTGTACTGAAGCAGATATTTTACAGTCTTGGGATTAAAAGTTTCAGGGATATGGTAAATGACTTTGGAACTGTACTATACTTGATTATTTGGGGGCTAGGAAGCCTAGGTTTTAGTTTGAATGGTGAAGCTTTTTTATATCCCTTGGAGCACCAAGGGTTTTGAAACTCTTATCAGTAATGAATAAAGATGGGTGTAGTAGCACACACTTGTAATGTGGGAGTTGAGGCAAGGGGATCAAAGATTCAAGCTCAGCCTTGGGCTATTTAGTGATACCTATCTCAAAATTTTAAAAATTTCTTTAAAAAAGGCTTGAGATGTAATGCACTGTAAAGATTAAATCCCTAGTACCAAACCAAAAATAAAAATGAAACAAAATTCTGGGTACACTCTTAAGTGTTATATGCTAATCTGAGTTGCAAATCATACTCATATTGTCTCTTTTAATTTTAATAATAACTCTGTGAGGTGTTTGTGTATTTATTGCCAAGAAACAGAGATGGATCTGGTTACTTCTGGATACAAATTAAAATAAGGAAGTGTAGATAAATTCTTTACTTTGACACAGTCACAGTCTGAAGTATATGAATGTCACACTACTAGTTTATAGCTACTAGTCACCCAATTTTAACCTGGGTTAAAGGCTCATTTAACACAAAGCTCTTGGAAACTGCTTCTATACTTTCCTCAGAATGGATTGTAGACGTGGATTCCCTTCCATGTTAAGACATTACCATCTCCATATTTTTCCTTTCCATGATAAGACATTACCATCTCCATATTTTTGGATGAGAACAACTGAACTCAGAAAAGTTAACTACTTTTTTATTAGAATTCATAAGATTAACTGAACTCAGAAAAGTTAATTACTAAGTAGCTCTAACACTGGACCCTATATGTCTGATTATAAATCTGATATCCCTCTATAACATCTCCCTCAATTCCATCTTGATTGTGTCATATTTTTTTAAGAGCTTTTTCCTTAAGAATTTGAAATCAGCCTTCTTCAGAAAGCAAGTTTCATTTGAGGCTTAAATGTCTTAGAGTTATTTCTGTGCTGATCATTAGAGTGTGATATGGACTTGGATTCAGCCTTTGGACAAAGGTAAGTGAGAGAAAGTAAGCAGAACTGGCTCCCAGTGCTTTTAAAGATCTTTTTGTGTATTTGGATCCATTATGAAAAATCTCTCATCTCTAATATTTTTATGTCTAAGAAAATGGTCATGAAGCCTTTCCACCTAGGTAGGGTCAACATAGGGGATGTAGGAACAACAAATATAGAAACAAGAAATAAAGGCAGATCTGGAGGCACATACCTGTAATCCCAGCATTCTGGTATGCTGAGGTAGGAGGATCTCAAATTTGAGACCATCATGAGTAACTTAGTGAGACCCTCAAAATGAAAAAATAAAAAAGAGCTAGAAACTGTCGCACAGTGTGAAGGCCCTGGTTTAATTCCTAGTACCAGAAAAGGGGAAGAGGAAAAAGCGCACTACTTTTAATTCTTGAGTTAGAGAAAATAGAAGCATTTCCTGATCTCCCTACTACCTCACAAATCTATTTACCTGTGTTAGTAGTCGTGTGCTTTGCCTTCTCTTTTATTAGAATTCATAAGGTGTCTCGACTCTGATGAAAGGCCAATCTACACATTCATGTTTTAGATTCTATCCTATCTCTATTTCTTAAGACCTTTGCTCCTGCAATTTTTTCCTTTCTCTGACATTATTTATTTTTCTCTCTCTACTAACCTCCTCCCATCAGCATACATATATGTTCTTCTATCTTGAACCCCAAATGTAAGAAAATGTTACTTTGATGCTACAACTGGATCCCTCTTACTATTACTTCATTTCTCATTTTCCTTTCAAAGTGTCACTTCTTGAAAAAGTTATCTGTGTGCCAGGCGTGGCATACCTGTAATCGCAGCATTCGGGAGGCTGAGGCAGGACGATCATTGCGAGTTCAAGACCAGCCTGGGCTACATAGTGAGCTCAAGACCAGCCTGAACTGCATAGCAAGACCCTATCTCAAAAAGTCCAAAAAAAAGAAAAAAAAGTTATCTGCAACTGGGCATGGTAGAATATACCTGTCATCTCAGGTACTCAGGACACGGGGGCAGGAGGATCACAAATTAGAGACCAGGCTAATAAGATTTGGTTTAGGAGGGGCATGATGATGCATGCCTATAATCCCAGCACTTGGGAGACTGAGGCAAGAGGATCATTGGGAGTTCGAGGCCAGTTTGGGCTACAAAGTAAGTTCAAGGCCAGTCTGAACTGCATAGGGAGACCCTATCTCAAAAAGGCAAATAAATAAACAAAAAAGACTTGGTTTAAAATAAAAAGGGCTGGAAATACAGGTCAATGGTAGAGTACTTTCCTAGCATTTGCACAGCCTTAAAAATTCAATACCCATTACCACACACACACACAGATTAAAAAGCAGTTATCTATAATCACTGTTTCCATTTTCTCACCTCCGTTCTCCTGTGCACACATTTCAGATAGGTTTTCATTGCTCACTGCTTCAACTCTGCTGAAGAAGCTTCTGTCAAAATCACTAGTGACATCCAATTGGACAGATACAGTGGTCATTTCTCATTTCTCATCTTACTTTGACCTGTTAGGAGTTTTCAGTAAAATTGGCCATACTCTTGAAACATTCTTCTGTTGGTTTCTGTAACTGTATGCCATTTTGGTTTCTCTCCTACATTCTTGACTTTTTATCAGTCTTCTTTGCAAACTACTCCACCTTGCCTTAAGCTTTCTAAAGACTGAGTACCCCACAGCTCCCACTTCCCTGTCCACATTCTCTAATTTTCTTCATTCTTGTGATTTTAAATACTAAACTGAGTGAAGGTTAGAAGTGTAGCTCAAAGGTAGAACAGTTGCCTACAATGTACAAGGCCTTGGGTTCCAGCCTCAGTACCACAAATAAACAAAAGTGAAAACAAATGTGTTTCTCCAATCCAGACCTTTTTCCTGAACTTCAGGTTGTGTCCAGCTGTCCGTCACTTCTAAGAAACATCGGAAACTTAATTGCCCATCACAAAACTCTTAATTTTCCTACCAAAACTCAATGTTCCTATTTCTGTCTCCATTCCAGTACAAAATATCAAGATGTATGGAGTTGCTCACAAAGAAAATCTAGGGTTTATTCTTGGTTCCCATTTTCTACCTTTTATAACCAGACCAAGACTGTTTGATCCTTAAGGTTGGAAGATTTTATGAAATAATGTATATAAAATGCTAAATATAATGCCTAGATACTGAAGAGAAATAAATGATAGCTATTATTATCATATAGGTAATACATAATAATGTAAATTTTAAACTTTCTTAATAGCTAACCTTGCTTAGAGTATTTTATACTTCATTTTTTAGTACTAAAGATTGAACCCAGGGCACACTGAGCAATATCCCCAAACCTTTTTAATTTTTTACTTTGAGACAGTCTCAGTAAGTCACTAAACTGCCTAGATGGGGTTCTAGCTAGCAATTCTCCTGTCTCAGCCTCCTAAAGTGCTAGGGCTACAGCTGTGAATCACTGTACCTAAACTATAGTTTTGTCTTTTTTTTTTTTTTTTTGGTCATAGGGAAACATGCTTTTAGATACTGGTAACACAGTCCTGTGAATGCTGTAAGCTATTGTGATATTTGCTGTATCTTAGAGATGTGACAGTTTCTGAGTGTTTTTGAAACAAATTCAGGAAGACCTGATTAAATAGAAAACTTATTTTTAACTTACAGGTTAAAGTAGTTACACTTATTTCTTAGGGATCTTCTTAATATTGGAATGTCTAAGAAACTGAAATTTCTGTGTAACTATAGCATTAGTATCCACTCTCTTTTTTTCTTTTTTTTTTTTCCAGCAGGCACTGTGCTGCTGAGCTGTATGCTTTGCCCATGCTCTATCTCTTTAATCTCTTAAATCTGTCTCAACTTACCCAGTTTCTTTTCTGCTTCTGTTATCCTATTGATTTTACATTCCTTAGATACAAGAGTCATGCTAAAACTTTTGTCCTCTTTTTTCACATGTGAAGATTAAATATGAAAATCTTTTTCTTGTAGATGAAAAGATTTCTTAAACTGTAAAATAAATACCACTAATACTATAATTCCCTAAAGAGCCACCATTGTAATTATTACATATTATGGCTTATATTTTATGATTTTTTTAATGATGTCAAACCATTAGAAAGGAACTTTCATCATTAGTTGCTGTTGGAAAAAAGGCTAAAAACATTCCTCTTTACTGAGCATGGTGGCACACCCTTGTAATCCCAGAACTCAGGAGGCTGAAGCAGGGGGATCACTGTGAGTTCAAGGCCAACCTAAATTAAAAAGTGTATTCAAGGCCACTTTGAAACCTTGTTTCAGAAAGACCAAAAAACATTTTTTCTTTTGACTCTGAGGCTTTGAAATAGCGTCGAAATAAATTTCCATCCATTGAAGGAGCTCTATGTCAAATAATGTTTAAATTAGGAAGTAGGCTTCCATTCTTATTGCTAACTTGAGTTGAGAAATTATCTGGCACATACATGTGCCAACTTTAAAAAGAAGCTAGTTTCCTTGAAAAAGAGGGTGATATAAAAAAAAGTGATATAAAGAAAAAAATGTCCTTGGTTATATATAATATGTTACTTTGCTATTGTAACAGGAAATTGAAGAAAGTGATAGTTTTTTTTGGGGGGAGGGGTGTCTTTTTCCTTTTTATCGGTGGGGATTGAACTCACGACTGCCTGCTTGCTAGGCAGGTGCTTATGCCGCTGAGCTAAATCCCCAGCCCCCTGAAAGTGATAGTTTTAAGGCATCACAAGTTAATTCACAGTTTCAAAATCCAAGTCCCAAATAAATCATTTTCCTTGGAAAAAGGAAATACTAAGATTCTGCTGTGTACCAGGTAATATTCTAGACCCTTTAGAAATGTTATCCCATTTGATTCCCATACTGTCCGTACAAAGTAGATATTTTTATGTTTGCAGTTTTACAGTTGAAGGATATGAGAATCAGAAAGTCCAGCTAGCCAAAGCATGACACTTTTTTGAGTACCTTCCTTTCAGCTTTATCCTATACTAAATTCCTTTCCCCTGTGCTGCTATTATACTCTAAATATAATCTTTGTTTAGCACATCATTTTCAAATGACTTTTATCTATCTGTCTCCCCCCGGGACAACTCCTCAAGAGTAGAAATAGTATCCTATTCACCAGGAGAGGGCTTGGGTAAATAGAAAGCTATATATTTGTTAGACTCAAATTTAAACTGAGTATTCTCAGCCTAAATATGTCTTGTACATCATCACAGTCACATAGCTCCAGATAACAAGACAGTCACTCTGCTTTAAGGAAGCTTTGGATTGGAAAAGTAGACCACTTCTGGAAATCTTAGAAATTTTTTATACTGAGAAAATCTGATGCTTTGTTGTTTGTTTTTAGATGCTGGGATGGAACCCAGGGCTTATGCATTGTACAGATGCACTATACCACTGAGTTACCTCCCCAACTCCTGCTGCATCAAAACTACCACCTCAAAATAAAACTGAAACATTAAGATTTACACGTACATCAAAGTAAAGATATAAAAAATGTGGATTACTTTATTTTCTAGGAGCTTTATGGGTGTGCATAATTTTAAATCCACACTGCAAAGTGGAAGAAAAATCTTGTTGGCTGCAGCAACTACAGAAGTGGAGCGACCTGGATGTCTGTCCCCTGGAAGATGGGAATTATGGCCATGAGCTGCCCAACATCACCAATGCACTTCCCCAGAATGTCAGTCACAGTACAGGTGAGCAAATACCCTTTTTAGGCTCTTTGTGCCTAGAATTTCAAATGGTAAGAGGGTAAAGCCCTAAACAATTATGGCTGGGAAACCTTTTGACTGTCAAAATTACCAACACAGGTGAGAAAAGCTTGGATTTTTATTCATCTTAAAATGCTAAATCTTAAAGGTAAGCTTTTTTCTTTGACATTGGGAATGCTGTCCTTTCCCTTATCTAGAGTGGCCATACAGTGTTCAAGATAAAATCTTAGAGCCTTCTGAATGATTCTTTTCTGTCCTTCTGATTCTTTTACCTCAGTTTGGGTTTATTTTAGGTCCAAACAACTATAAAAAACAGTTTTTAAAAGTGTTCAGGGTTGCCAGGCATGCAGTACACACCTATAATCCTAACACTCAGAAGACTGAGGCAGAAAGATTGCCATGAGCTTGAGGTCAGCCTGGGCTATATAGTAAGTTCAAGACCAGCCTGAACTACGTAAGCAAGAATCTGTCTCAAAAAACAAAAAGCAAAAACAAACCAAAAAAAAAAAAAAAAAAAAGTGTCTAGGGCTTGGGAATGTAGTTTGGTGGTAGGACAGTTGCCTAGCACTTGAAAGGCCCTGAATTTGATGCCTAGCACTGAAAAAAAAAAAAAAAAGAAAGAAAGAGAAAATCATGACCGTAGCATTTCTTATTTTGTTTCTTTCTCTGTTTCTGCCAGAATTTTATACAGCAAGCATTTGGGTAGAATTATCCTAAGTGATTACCAGAACTCATGCCCCATTTTAAAACAAGTCCAGTACAGTCTACTGTATCCTGTGTCTCTTGAGCCTTCTGACCTACAAACATTATTGGCAGATTTTATCACATACTAATTTGATGCTTGGCCTCAAGTACTATAATAACTTTGTTGGTGTTTTTAATCTCAAGGAAAAAAATCATTTTAATTATTGTTTCTCTTGGTCTTCTTTTACTGTACCATAATCAGTTGTTAATGTATTTAAGATAACTAAGGTATGCACAGTGAAAATGCTACAATTTTGTCACTTTGTTAAGCTACTTATTTCTGGCACTCATCTGGCCTGTACAACACCGTTTTAATTTTGACTTTGGATAGCACAGAGAAGGGAGACTTCACATAAACTCATACCTATCGTCTGGCTGTTTCTTCCCTGTCAAAATATATTGGTTCATATTACTGAGTTTTGTTGGATCATTGAACAAAACTGTTTCCAGGCTCACTGTTTGAAAGTCCACTTTATGGGGGCTGGGGATTTAGCTCAGCGGCATAAGTGCCTGCCTTGCAAGCAGGCAGTCGTGAGTTAGATCCCTGGTACCGATAAAAACGAAAAAGACAAAAAAAAAAAAAAAAGAAAGTGCACTTTATATGCTTTAATTTTGTAACTTGAACAACTATTTCTAAGATAACAATATGTAATCTATTAACTAGGGATTTCCTACTATTTATTTTTTCTGAAATTCTGCATAACTTGTACCCTTTTTTTTTCTTTTTCTCCTTAAATAAAAAAAATGTATTGGTTCTTCACTGTTACTGGTTCTTCTTTGAATGTTTTACTTCCTCTGCACTCTCTTCAAATTGGGATTGATATGTCTCTCACACACCCTATTACCATTGGACCTGTTCAAATAGAAAGCATGCTGCTTACTCTTTATTGCCCTTTCTACATCGTATCCATCCCACCTTCCTAAAATTCCACCCAGCCATGATGTTTATGCCATAAAACTATACTGTCTGTTATTCTCCTAGTATTGGTCATCTTTAGACTGCTAAATTTATCCCCTTTCTTCCCTGAAGTTTTTTGTTTTGCAACTCCCAAATTAATCAAATTGACACAATTAAGCTTAACCACAACAACTACTTTGGTGATTGCTTTGTTTTAATAATTGAGTGTTAACAACCCCCCCAGATGTATAACTCCTGCCCATACCTTCTCTCTTAACACCAGTCTTGTATATTCAATTGCTTTTTTTTATATCTCTGCTCATATAGCACTCCAAACCTGTGCACAGTGGTAAACCTGTGCGTGCAGGCCACAGCAGGCTCTTTGTATCGCTGAAGCTCTAAAAGTTTCACCATCATTGTTATATAGTATAGTAAGAGGCATTTTAATAAGATTTCTTACCCCCTTACACTATCCAGACCTGCTCCTTCTGAACTCTTCCATTTCCATATGGCATCTTTTTTTTTACATATGGTATCTTTATCTGAAAAACTTCAGTGTCATTTCTTGATTCTTCTTTTTACCCCAGTTATAATATGTGAGCAAGTATCTATGAGCATTTACCTTCAGAGTATAACCAGAATCTATGTATTAGTCAGTTTTTCTATTACTGGACACAATACCTGACACAATTTAAAGGACAAGTTTAATTTGGTTCATGGTTCAAAGGATTCAGTCCATGGCCAGCTAGTTCCAAGGCAGGAACAGCATGGCAGAAGGGCGTGGTGAAGCAAAATTGTTTAGTTCATGATGAACAGAGAAACAATGCCAGAGAGGAAGAGATTTGGACCTCAAAGCCACACTTCCATGAGCCACTGCAGTACACGGAGAAGTTTGCTTCACCAATCCCCTGCCATGATACTGAACTTTTAGAGCTTTCAAGTGATACAAACACACTGCTGTAGAATACATACAGTAGGTTCACCACCAATGCAACGATTCCAAAGCCAATCAAGTTGACACTCTCCCCTAACTGCCTCTGTCCAATTATCTGTCATCCGTATCACTACTAATTACTTTGTCTTGTTACCATCATTGCACAAGTTATTTGCAGTGGCTATCAGCTTGGTCATTTCATTCCAACTATTCTGGTCTCCTGCTGTTTTCAAACACTCGAAACATATTCCCACATGAGGACTTAGTGCTTATTGTTCCTTTTACCTGGAATGCTATTCCCTCAAGTGTCTCTAAGCTTTGCCCCTCAGTTCTTGCAGATTTTTTACTCAAATGTTGTCTATTTTCTTTGTTTTGTTTGTTTTGTTTTGTTTTGTGATATGGTCTCATATTCCTGAACCGAGATGATCCTGTCTCCCTAGAAGTTGAAACTACAAGGGCACACCATCACATGTACCTTTTCAAATGTTACTTTATTAGACACCATTCTCTGTGTAAAAGCAATAGCCCTCATCTACTACCATCTTGTCTTTTTTCCTAACTTTGAGTCTATTCTATAGCACTTACAACCATATGATATACTATATATTCAACTATCTCTCCCCATTTGAAAGTAAAGGTTCATAATGACAAGAACTGTATACATTCTGGACTCCTTGAATAGTACGTGCTACATATCAGGAATGTATTATTTTTCTGATTTCATTATTTAGCAACATACTGAGAGCCCAGTCTCTACTGTGAACTGCACACACCCATGAGAGAGTCTCAGTTCAGTCCAACAGGGTTTAATCTGCAGTCAGTAGAAGAGTGTGCTTTCACTAAGGGGCAAGGTTTACAAGAAGTAGTAAGTACGATTGGCACTACTCTAATGATAATATCCTTCAATCATCTGAATCCTTACCCATTTTGTATAGATAAAAGCAAATTCCAAAGACTTTTCCTACATGAGTAAATGTTAGATTTTTTTTCATGTTAACCTGAATTCTCTGATTTTCTCTCACAATTTTTTTTTTGTGCAGAATCAGTAGATGCACATCTAATTTGGACCTTTCTGTGTAATTTAATTTTGATCCCAAAATAGTTTCAACTACCCTTAATCTGGAAATATGTTGCTTTAATGATCCCCTTTTAGGTTTTTATTTTACTAAGTATCATTTCCATGCCTCCCTCTAAACCTGTAGTTTATGATGATACATCTTCCATGTGTTTCACCTAAATACCATCCTTAAGAACTGAACACAGTTTGTCTGCAGCATTGGTTTCCCTGTGGTCCTTTTCTGAAGAGAGAGGGCATGGTAAGATTTCAATGAGAAAACAAGTTAGTCTTTTGCCAACATCAGCATTTCTTATTAGAGGCAAGACAACTGTCTTATCTTAGTTACTTTTCTTGTTGCTGGGACAAAATGCCCAACCCCCAAAGGTAAAAGAGGAAAAAAGTGTGTTTAGTTCACAGTTTGTAGAGGTTTCAGTCCATATCAGCTGGCTTCAAGACAGAGTGACACATGGCAGAGGCGCAGTAGTTCATGGTGGTAGAAGACAGCAAAACCAACAAGAGCTAAAAGTCCAAACAAGCTTCTTTCTGCCCTTTTTATCTAGACAGCTATGATTAGGGCAGTGCCAATCCAGTCGGTTGACTGATCGAGCAATAATTACTCACCCTTAATCTTAACACTATTAATCCCAGCATTGCATTACAAATTCTAGATCCAGCTGCCTCTAACAAAGGCCTATCTAAAACTGCATGAGGCTTTAGGGAAACATTTAAACTCAAACATTAATAACAACAAATCTGCAGATATCAGTGTAATAAAGGTACCACCATATACTGGATTTCAACTCCTTTTTACTTTTTTAATATGAATTTCATGGAAGGCTTTATTCTGATAAGAATCATGTTGTAAATGAAAGAAGTTGCAGATTAGCCAGGGAAATTACCTAGCTGGTTATTTCTGTCTCTGATTTCTGTAGAAACAATTTCTTTTCTTATGATTTATTAGTTGAGCGTGACTACCTCTCTTCATATGACTTTGAGTTCCAGTAGAAATTGGTCTTCTGTGGAAGGAAAGAGGGAACCATAGATCTCTGATAAAAATTTCTTCTGAGATAGAGCACAGATATACTAAAAACTTATCCAAGAAAGAGGCAACACAATACTCAGACAGACAGTAGATTGTTGGTATTTTTTCCCTCATACTATTTATTCTCTACCACACTGACAACACATTTACCCAACGTTGTGCTGCTGCATTATTTTCTTTCTCCAGACTCTTTATCCAGACCAAGAAGAACAGTGTTCTCTAGAGCCATTGAGGGTCGTGAATTACACTGGCAGGATAGCCACCTACAACGAATAATCAGCAGTGATATATATACAGCTCCTGCCTGCCAACGAGAAAGCGAGCGACTACTCTTTAATTCGCATGGCCAGCCACTGTGGCTTGGTAAGTCTATCCCTCCTTTACTGAGAGAACTTTAGAACCCAGGCTCACTTCATGTAGGCCCAAATGATCCATTTGCATAGCCACCAATAACATCAACTACAATTCAGACAGTCTTCATATAGTTCTTTTGGACCCTTATTAGAGACTGAGAATATTTATTTGAAGCCTTGGCTACTTGCATATGTACATATTTGAGGTACAATAACCTCAAATAGGAATTTGTATCCTGTGCCCTAGTCTTTGGGAAGATAAAGGAGTTAATACATCTCAAAGAATGTGACAAACCATTGAACATTAGTTTACAGGCTCTCTTAATCAGCAGTTACTGAGCACTTTGCTTAAAAAGCACTGTTTGAAACTTAAATTACCCCGTGCTGGTAATTAGAACATAGTCTGCATTTGTCATCAAGTTGTCTTCTGTATTTCTTTATCACCTTCCTGTCTTCCTTCATAACAGAATAGAGTTATTTCACCCAAGTTAAAACCTTTCACTGAAACAGTTTTCTGGCTTATTAAAAATCAGTCTGTCTTTGCCTTTTATTACAGAATACCCATTCCAAAATAGACTTGCTAACTTACTTATCCAATTTACTATGTGGTACTGGAACTACTGGATTAAACCAGTATTTTACATCTCCAGTCCTAGACTCCTAGAGTGCCGGGATTACTGGCATGGGACCCCACATAAAAAAAATAGACTTTTTTAAAAAGTACTTAATTTTTAATCTAAATCTTAACAACAGTCATATAGATTTTCTTTTCTTTTTTTTCCTTCTAATTCCCAACCTCCATTCCTTACATTTGTATATTTCTCAAAGTCTTTCTATATCTGTATATGTCCCTGGGCCTGTCTTATAAATCTTGGCCAAACTTACTGTGAGTCACCACTTGAATTTCCCACTGATCATCTTTCCTCTTTTCTGATCCAGCACCTCTGAAACATAAATTTAACAAGCTTATGACAAAATATATACCTCATTAATAAACAAAAATATAAAAAGCAATACTAATTTACCATTTTTGATTATTATCAAATGGTCAGGAATTTTAAAAATAAAGATAATTTGTTTCTTAGGCAGAAGAGGGTTCATGAAGATAGGTAATCATATAAATGGTAGGACATAAATGCCTTTCTGAAGGATATTTCAGCAACATCTATGAAAAACCTTTAAAATACATTCATACCACTTGACCAAGGAATTCTTTGTCATAAAATTTATCCTTAGTTATAATTAACTAAGAATTGAATAAAGCCAAGGGATTCATTAGTGCATAGATATAAATAATTTACAGATCAGAAAATTGGAAACCATGCAAATGTTCAACAGTATGAAAATTGATTAACGTGGTAGATGAGCACGTACTCAATGGAATGATATGTAATCATTGTAGTGTTATAGAAACATATACATTATGATATATATTTAATTATAATGTATAACAGACCACTAGTCTTCTGTAAAGGCAACATGGCCTGGATTTATTGTGCCTAGGTGCAGCCGGAGAGTGGGCTAAGGCCATCAGCAGTGAATAAAGAGACATGTGTCCTTTTTATGAGGATGGAGAAAAGGCAGAGGACATAAACTGGAAAGATCCCAATAAACATCTGCAGTTAAACTTCTCTGGCAATCTTGTATCTCAGTGGGCAAAGTCCTTGAAGAGTCCAGTGTAAATTCTCAGGTGTCTCCAGATGTCCTGGAACCTGTAAAATCCGTCGTCTTATCTTACCTCCTTTCCTGTGCTTGCCAATGACAACTTCAGCAGTGAGCTGAGTTTCCTGCAGAGAGCAGCGCTTCTGACGACAAGAAGGCTGGATCTGGGAGAATCAGGTCCATTTGGAGCCTTACTTTGATACCATGGAAAAATATTTACAATGTGCTACTACTTGAAAAAAAGTTTACAAAATAATAATTATAATGTTGCACTTTTAGTAAAAATAAAAAATCTGAATAGATGTATATGACACTAGAAAAAGTTAAATCTGATTTTTATTTTATACTTATCTATGTTTTCAAATCTTTTTATTAATATATATTTGTGATACATACTATATTCATTGTGAGGGATTGGTATATTTACATGTTTTCAAATTGTCTGCAGTTATTTGTCTATAATTTTAATTTTAGATTTAAAAGAAATAAATCATAAAGCCTGTTATAATCACTCATTTATTTATAATCCTTCAGTAGTCTTCTGTTATCCCTTAGAATAGTGTTCAAACCTGTTCATACTCCAGACTCTACCTTTCCAGGCTGAAAAGGTTGGAAACAACCATGTAACCTAATTCTTGGTACCCAAAACTATAAATAATATGTAGAATGCCTTTTATGCTTTTTCTTAATATGCCTTTATTTATATCTTCCCTTAGCAGGAATGCTTTTCTTGTTTGTTTACCTATTAATAATCTTGCTTGTCCTTCAAAACACAGTTCAAATATTATTTTCTCTGTGTATATATTTTTCTCTCATATTAATAGTTAGCTGTTTTATAACTATCTGTTTATGTGTCATTCATGAGCTTTTTGAGGGCAATGGTTATTTCTTATTTATATTTCTTCTTTCTTTGCCTGGCATATAACAGATCTTTAGAAAATATAAGGGTTGCTAAAAGAATTGAGCTTTTTTCCTTTGGGCAGTTAGTTGTTAACCTCCACTGGGTTCCTATAATACATGTTCATGAGGAGGTGCTACATTTTGTTATTCTACTTGTATGTTCTTTTCTACATTGTACCACCATACTAGGCTGCAACTTGGTTCTTTCAAGGTAGTACTCGTGACTTACTCAGCTTCTTATACTCTTGAGGATAAAAATAAAGCTCCTAGGCCAGGGATTTAGCTCAGCAGCATAAGTGCCTGCCTTGCAAACGCATAGTCATGAGTTCGATCCCCGATACCAAATAAATAAATAAAAATAAAAATAAGAAATAAAGCTCCTAATAGAATGCAGATATCACCTGGGTGTGGAGGCACACATCTGTAATCACAGCACTGGGGATGCTGAGGCAGGAGGATCACCATGAATTGGAGGCCAGCCTGGGCTACATAGCAAATTCAAGGCTTGCCTGAGCTACATAGTGAGATCCTTTCACAAACAAACAAAATTGGAGTCAAGGATTTGGCTCAGTAGCATACAGCCTACCTGGCAAGTATGAGGTTCTGAATTCAAACTTAATTAAACACAAACTTCCACTTTCAAGCATGAATTCTCCTTGTTTGAAATTTTAACTCCTCCATAATGTTTTCTTCTTATCTGGTAGAGCATGTGCCTACAGCTTGTGCTCGGGTTGATGCCCTGCGTTCTCATGGTTATCCAAAAGAGGCTCTCAGACTCACGGTGGCCATTATTAATACTCTGAGATTGCAGCAACAACGGCAACTGGAAATCTACAAGCATCAGAAGAAAGGTATAAGTGATTAAGAGTCATCTATCTCTTTAGATATAAGGCTGATAAGGATCTTCAGGGCATAAAAGACCCAAGACCTAAATTTTCATTAAATATCATGGTGTGGCAGGAGCTAGAGAATTCCAAGTAATTCTACCTGTTGTGTGGTACACCTCATTGAATCTGTTTTCCCGTCAGTAAACTGGGAACAGTGATGCCTGTCTGCCTTTCTGATGCAGATAGAAGGGCCCACTAAGAACCATTATAAGCTGACAAGTGCATATCCACATATGTATTACCAGCAGGTAGCCTAAAGAGAAAACATAACTTCATAGCTACCTGGTAAGCTTGTGACCATTCCTATCAACCCAAGGCAAGATTAAAAAGAGAAACTTTTCTTTGACTCCCATGTTCAAGGCCTTGAGTGAGACCTGATAAGGACTCAAGCAGGGGGAAAAAAACAATATGTTTCTATCAGTGTCTAAAATTTTGAACCTACTTATTTCCAGAACTGTTGCAGAGAGGAACTACAACCATCACAAACCTAGAGGGCTGGGTGGGCCACCCTCTGGATCCTATTGGCTGCCTGTTTCTCACATTGACTGAAGCCTGCCGCCTCAATGATGATGGCTATATGGAAGTGTCAGGTACAAGGGTCAGCCTGAGGCAAGCTGGGACTGCCCTTTTGCAGGCCTCTAATCCATGCCAAACTATTCCAGCCCTGTTGCAGCCTCCCCCACCTCCATTTGGTCCAGACTGAATATCTCTGAGGGGTTTCCTGGCTTTCCCACTTTGCTTTCCCACCTTGTGGCCTGATCCTATCCATTTCATTTTTCCAGTTTCCTTCCTTCTCTCATTTTCCTAACCATAAATATTTAAAGAGTATAGCCCAGGAGACATAAGAAAGGACAGAAGAATTTGAAGAGTCAGAGGCCAAAACTTTAGAGCAATCTAAGAGTGGGAGATAATTTCCATCAAACCAGGATGTTTATCAAGCCAGGTGTGGTGGCACACACCTATAATACCAGTTACTCAGGTCAATTAAATTCAGGACCAGCCTAAGCAACATAGCAAGACCCTATGTCTAATTAATTAATTAATCCTTTGGTTTCCTTTGAACTTTCTCCTTCATGATGGTCTTCTAATTTACAAATTAAAAATAGAAAATAGTCTAACAGAGTCTCAAAGTAGCCAGAACTACAGACAGAATTAATTTCTTTCCTTATGTCATTTATGTGTTGTTTTATCTACATCTACTTTAGTTGCATTATAGTTTCTTTACAACTATACTTGTAAACTACTTGAAAGCAGAATTTATAACTTGTCTTCGTAACTGTCATGCAACAGTCTTCCATAAACACTTAACGGATGAAGGAAAAAAGGAAAGAAACCATGTCTGGGTTTTTGGCCTTGGTTTTTTTGTTTTTTGTTTTGTTTTTTGAGAAGGGATTTCACTATGTAGCCTAGGTTGGCCTCAAACTCCTGAGCTCAAAGAATGTACTTTCCTCAGCCTTCTCAGTAGCTGAAACTACAGACATGTATTACCATTAAGACTTAAAATTATGCTCTCTTCCTGAAATTGTGAACCCATTGGTGAGCCATGGCTATAATCTCAGCTACTTGGGAGTCTGAGGCAGAAAGATTACATGTTCAAGGCCAGCCTGGACAATTTAGTAAGACTCTGTCTCAAAATAAAAATAAAAGAAGGAGCAGGGATATATATAGCTCAGTGGCCTTCCATTTGTCTAGCATCCATGAGATAATGGGTTTCATTACCACAATTACACACATACATAAATAATAGCATAAAAGTTATAAATGTTAGCAAGATACAAGTTTAAATATACAGATTCAGATTTCTCTGGGTAGAGATGGAAAGGTTATCCCTAAATAAAACTAATCCCTTGTACAAGGAATTATCATCTTTAGTCTATTTCATCTGCATGATGACATTTATTTATAGCCCAAAAACCTAAAGTTATAATTGGTTTATTTGTTAATCACGGACTTTCCATATTTCAGGGTCCAGAAATTCCTACAGTATAATAGTCTTATCTCTTTAACAGCAGTAAAATAGGCACAAAAACAGACAATTATGAAATTACATTGTGTGCTAGCACAGGTAAGATTCTGTACTCCCTAACTGGCCTAATCTGTTCATATATTATGAAAAGTAGGAATCCTTGTAGTTCTGTGTATTTTCTTTAGTTGATTTTTCTTATTGCTGTGGAGTTCTGACTCAGCTAGTATGATAACTGTTGACCAAGCAGTATCCCAAAGTGAGAGGTATAGAGGACAGAACAAACCACTAGGCATGTGCTAAAGAACCTGATGCCCTCTTGCCCTCAGATATGAATGAAAGCAGACTCCCTGTATACCAACATGTACCTGTGGCTGCAGGCTGCACAAATAGCAGTGAGTCCTACCTGTCATTAGCCCTGGAAGTTGCTCTGATGGGTATGGGTCAACAGAGGGTAATGCCTGAAGGCCTGTACGCACAGGACAAAGTATGCCGTAATGAGGAACATCTCCTAAACCATCTCCAGGAGCTGCAGCTGGATGATGAGCTAGTACAAACACTGCGGAAACAGTGCATCTTATTACTAGAAGGTAAGTATTGAAGGAGCTATTGTTACAGTATCGTTATGACTGTGGGCTGTCCTGACTTCTAGAGCACAGGTTGAGGAACATTTATGACATTAAAGAGAAATGAAGTTTCCCATGGCTAGCAAACATGCATGGGGCCTTGGGGTCTCAACTCTAGGCTGGCAAATGAAACATAGTGATAAATAACTCAATCTTCTTCCTGCAGGAGGCCCTTTCAGTGGTCTTGGAGAAATCATCCACCGAGAGAGTGTTCCCATGCATACATTTGCCAAGTATTTGTTCTCGGCTTTGCTGCCTTATGATCCAGATCTGTCCTATAAATTAGCTTTGCGTGCCATGAGGTAGGTATTCCATTCCAGCCCCGTTACCTCCACCAAAGGAGAATTCTTTAATGCTTTCTTTGTTTATCCTACTTTCTTCTCTTTGTCTGTTCTGTTGACCTGCCAGTAAGCATGGAGTTAAATGGCTCAGATATTTTCTTATGATCTAAGATTTGTATATGGGATTCCTCACTGATGTCTCAGTGACTTCTTAGCTATGCTCATAGTGAATTGTCTGAGGAAGCCCTTCTGATATTAATAGATACGGAGCACTCAAGACCTGAGTCTCCTGTTCTGGAGCCAACTGTGCTGAAAAACCTGAAAAAGGGGTTTGAGCCTTTTTATAACTCACCTGAATTAGTTCTCAGGAATAGGTCTCCAGAATCTGGGGGAAATAGGACATGAAAGCAATGAGCTATTGGAATCTCATTTCCAAACTAGAATAGGATCCTTGAGTGAAGCAGTGAATACTATTCAGATAGAGTTCATAAGTGTCCAGCCACTCATCTGACAGAATATATTACACAGGTTTAAAAACCTTCCAAGCTTTTAGTTATTGTTTCTTTCCCTAGTTCCAGCAAAGAGCAAGCTTCTCTAAGGTGAATTAAAATGGCCAGGGTCTAGATGATGGCTGATGACTCTTCCTGGGTCTTCTAGGTTACCTGTTCTAGAAAACTCAGCTTCTGCTGCTGATACTTCTCACCCTCATCATATGGTGTCTGTGGTGCCCAGCCGTTATCCTCGCTGGTTCACTCTTGGACACTTGGAATCACAGCAGTGTGAACTGGCCTCCACCATGCTGACTGCCGCCAAAGGTAAATATATTACTCTTAGACTCCAGCATCCCCACTGTGCCTACCCAGCTATGTCATGTCAAAGGCACAACCTGAAATCTCTAAAAGAGAAACTACATTTAGTCTTTGTTGACCTTTTGGAGTGATAAGGATCTCATTTTGATTCCTTAATTAGGAAAAGCATAGGAGCTGGGGATTTAGCTCAGGCCATAAGCATCTGCCTTGCAAGCAGGCAGTAGTGAGTTTGATCCCTGGTACCGATAAAAAGAAAAAAAAAAAATTAGGAAAAGCACCTGGGTCCAAACCAAAAATTTTCCCTAGATACTAATTGTATGACCCTGAGAATACAGGATTAAATAATTCTTAAGCTAATTTCTAAATGCAGCTTTTTATATGATAAAATTAGTTACTTTTTCAAACCTCAATTTCAAAATCTGTAAAGTGGGATCATTGTCAGTGACCTCAGCTTCTAAGGGATACTGGTGAAGTGGTGACTAAGAACTACAGAATTCCTTAAAGATAATCAGAGTTTATGATTCTTCTAGTGTCCCTTGTCAAAAGGTAGGAAGTAAAGAGTGATTCTTAAGCCTTTAATCCCACCACATTCTCCCTGTTACCTACCTACACAAACTTTAAGGAGAAGTAAAAATAAGCCCTTGGATGACAAACTATAATAAAATAGCAGCTATTATATATTCTAAATAATTTGTACCAGGAAACTACATAGGCTTTTGTTTTGTTTGTTGGTATTGGGTATTGAACCCAGGATTAGTATACCACTGAGCTTTTTATTTTTTGAGACAGGGACTCTCTGTATTGCCTAAGCTAGGCTCAGACTTGCAGTCATCCTGCCTAAGCCTCCAAAGTAGGTGGGATTGCAGGTAAATGCTACTATACCTAGCTACTACATGGATTTTTTTTTTTAGCTGTTTTGTTTCTTTCTTTTTTTTTTTTTTTTAATGTAGGGTCTTGCAGTGTTGCCCAGGCAAATCCTGAACTGTTAGGCTTCAAGCAATCTTTCCACACTAGCCTCTAGAGTGCTGGGACTGAAGGTATATCCCAGCTCTAAAGTGTGCTTTAAAGGAATATCCCAGCTTTTAAAAATTAAAAATAACTTTCAGCTGTATCTTCTGATTGCCAAAAAAGCATGCTCATTGCAAAAGAGTAAAAGATCTGAACAAATAAATATAAATGATCAACAAACCAATACAAAATTCAAAGGATGACTTAATATTTCACAGAAAGGGGGATGCAAAAGTCTATTTAAAAATTTAAACATTAAAATAGCTCCTGTTGCTTGAAAAATCAAAATTAAATTGCCCTGAAATAACATTTTTTAGTCTTATTCAAAAATCAATAAATTTGATAATAGGTATGCACACAGGGAGCATTGGTAGCTAGCATGGAGTACCAGATTCCAAGCAGGATAAAAAGGATAACTAGGGTCTCAGTGGTAGAGTGCTTGGCTAGCATGGCCTGCTTCAATTCCAAGAAGTAGAAATAGAAGTGGAGAAGGAGGAGGAGGAGCAAGGGAAGGAGAAGGAAGAAGAAGAAAAGGAGGAGAAGAAGGAAGGAAGAAAGGGAAAAAGAAGAAGGACAGTGAAGGGCCTGATAGCACACACCCATAACCATACCACTCTGGGAGACTGAGCCAGGAGAATCACAAGTGTGAGTCCAATTTGGGCAGCTTAGTAACTTAGCCAAGACCCTGGATCAAAAAAGACTTCTTTTAAATTTTTTAAAAAGGTCTGAGGATGTACCTCAGTGCAGAGCATCCAAGTATAATCCACAGGACAAAGAAATTTAGCAAACGATAGACAAACAAACTCTAAAGCAAGCAGGAGAAAGGAAATACTGAAGATCAGAGTAAAAGGCAATAAAACAGAAAAACAAAAGGAAAAAATCAATGAAACATGGAGCTAGTTCTTTATGAAGATCAGTAGGGTTGAAATCTGTGTCTAAGCTGATCAATAAAGATGAAAGACATAAATTTTCATCCTTAGAAATGAGAATGATGATATTACTACAGATTCCAAAGAACAAAATAATAAATAGGAAAGTATTTGGACAACTTTGTACCAATAAGTCTAACTACATAGATGAACTGACCTAACTCCTTGAAAGATGCCAGCTACCAAAGCTCAAGAATAAACTAGGTATATACCCAAAATAATTAAAGCATAGACTCAAACATACATGTGTATATGTATACCAATGTTCATAGCTGCATTGTTCATAATAGCCAAAAGTTTAAACAATTAGAATATCCACAGTCAAGAAACATCAATGAATTCTAGGTAAGCCTTTGATGATACTTACATAATTTTAAAGTATCTCTTGACTTATGCTTATACAAAATGCTTATCAATTATAGAGGAAAAAAGTACAATTTTATTGAGTAGAGAAAGTTGGCAGGCATCCATTTAATCAGATAGTCACAATACACACTCCTGTAATTCCAGCGCTCTGAGAGACTGAGAAAGAAAGATTGGGAGTTTGAGGCCATCCTGGACTGCGTAATAAGTTCAAGACAAGCCTGGACTACATAGTCAGGCACTGTCTCAAACAAAACAAAACAATTAATAGACTAAATTTGATAATGTATAGAAGGGCATAATACATTGTGGTTAAGTAGAATTTATTCCAGAAATGTAAGATTGGGTTTCACATTGGAAAATCAGTCATTATATTGAATGAACCACATTTATGGAGTAAAAGAGAAAATTCATATGATCATTGCAATAATACAGAAAAAGCATTTGATAAAATACAACTATCCATTTCTAGTGAAATTATAAACTCTTAACAAACTAGGAACACAAGGAAACTTTTTTAATGTGATAAAGGACATTAGTGATCTCTCTGCAGCTAACTTTATACTTAATGATGAAGGACTGAATGCTTTGTTTCTCAGATCAGGAACAAGGCAAAAATGTTTGTTTTTCCATTCAACTTATTGTAAACCCAAATATCGAGTTCAGTCATCCAAGTATTGTAATACTCTTTCTAGTTTTCCTCACAATCCAAAAAGTTATATTTGTAATCCCATTGAGACGTTATTGGAATCCCAGCCAGTCAATTCCAGTCTCCCACCACCAGGGCAATCCATGGCAAGAGTGAAAACACAAAGGCGTATTCCAAATTAAGGGCAGCCAAGGAGTCCTAAATCCAATCTTTGTGAGGATGTGCGGGCAAAGACCCCATTGTAGGCCTCTCCCAGCATTTATTATCTTGTGAAGAAAGGAAGGGTCGCTCAGGGATGAGTGATAGTCAGGATGTCGGGGATTACTGAGTAACTTGAGCTGGCTGGCCAGGTGCAAGAATGGCATCTCTGTAATTTGCAGAGATACAGATATGCAGAAGGATCGATTTACATAACCCAATTATGGAATTGTTTTGGGGGGCAATTGTTTGTGATATGCAAACTCTTGTGCCCTGAGGAGTCATAGCCTCTTATCTTGAGGCTTGTACCCAGTTGACAGTCCTGAAGCTGTTTGCTCTAACATCTCACCAGCTCTGTCCTTTATGTGGAGAGCACCAAGTGAGGAAACAGAACTGTCTAATGGCTATAGATTTTGCATATTAGCACCTTAGCTAGCCTTATTTGCAAAACTCAGAGCCAATTGGAGAGAAGGAAATACCCTAGCCAGCCTTTCACATATCAGTATAAGGAAATGAATCTCAAAGTAATCAAAGTCACAGTAATTGTTTTGGATCCAAAGGGAGTTAGTGGAGTTGTCTCTCACATCTGTGATGGCTGCACATTAGCACCTGGGCTAGCCTTGTTTGCCATGCTGAGAGTTAATTGAAGAGAAGGAAATACCCTAGCCATCCTTTTACATATCAATATAAGGAAATGAGTCTCCAAATATTCAAAGTCACAGTAATTGTTTTGGATTCAAAGGGAGACACTGGAGTTGTCTCCCACACAACTCATATTAGTGCTTCTAATCACTGCAGTGAGACAATTTAAAGAATAAAAGGGCTGGACATGGTACTACTTGCCACAGTCCCAACTACTCAGGAAGCTAAAATGGGAGTGTCACTTGAGCCTGGGCATTCAGCCTAGACAACACAGAAAGACCTCCTATCTTAACAACAAAAAAATGTGTCTGTCTACAGAGAAAGAAAAATACAGCAAAAGCAAAAACAGACAAGTGCAACTACAAATGTAACTACATCAGTGTAAAATTCTCCTGCATAGCAAACACTCAACAAAGTAAACAGGCAACCTATACAATGAGAGGAAATACTTACAAATTATATATCTGCTAGGGGCTTGATTTATAAAATATGTAAGAAACTCTTAGAACTGAAAAGAGAGAATCCCCACACCAACATGTGCTGCCCAGGTGCCTGCAAAGCTGAGCTAGGGGGCAGGTGGGTGCCACTCTTAGCAGGGGGAGGGGCCACGGTGGTGGCCATGGTCACTGGCCCTGCTGGAGAAACCAAATATACAATGGGCAATGGCCAGTAAAGTAAAAGTACAATTCTGACCCATGGCCTGCAGTAATCACTCCAAGAAGACAGTCTGCCCTTGTAAGGGGAGCCAGCATTAAACCCTTTGCCTCATCTAGGATCCTGTGCCAAATCAACACCTCAGGAACCTGCTATTTACCCTGAGTGAAGCAGAATGACACCCCCAACAGTGCACCCTGCCACTGCTGCTGCAGCTGACTAGTGCAGATAGTATGGGTCAGCCCTGCAGCTGTTCCCATGCCCTCATCCCAAGGACCTGGAGACCATCCGAGTCTTGCCTATGCTTCGGACCTCAGTTGGGGCACTGCACCACCACTGGCTGTGATCAGCGCAGCTGTAGCCTGGCCTGAAGGTTTAGGAACCACTGCCACCAGATGAGCTGCGCACCAAGAGAGCAGAGTGCCCAAGGAGACCGCCCAATCTGCTCCTACTTCTTGGTCTGTAAGCCTAGAGGCCAATGCAGCTGCTAGACTATGGGAAGATAATGCTGAGCAAAGGTGCTTTGTCGAAAAACTTGGGAGACCCCTGAGTAAACCCAAAGG